ATATGGTTATGTTGGAATAATTTCTTAAGATAGCACACTTCAAATCTAGACATGAAATCAAAAATTGTATCTCATAAACCTCTGATTTTGTTCTAATTGGTCAGCATTCTCTATAGCTCAGTATCATTTAATTAAAAGATTTAAAATTATATCAAACAGGAAATATTTTTAGCTAATCATTTTAGGATTTTTAAAAATATATGCCTTAATATGACTGACAAGAAGTTCATGTAATAAGAATAGAAAATTAAACTGTTCTCCGCCTTTTTTAGAGTTAAAAGCTATTTGCTTATTTCTTAATAATTTGAATAATGCTAGAGCAAATAAGTCCTAGATCTCTGCTGTGTTCACTGTTCCTCCCTCATTCACATGTGTGGACAGAAAGAAAGACATTGTTTTCCCTCCGTACTGTAGCATGGTTGTAGCCTGCCATGAACACAGATGGGTTTCTTCTTGGACTGAGGAGTCTGTGGGCTTGAGGTCACCTGACAATCTAATTATCCCGAAGTGTCTTATCTGGTCTCTCTTCCATCTCTTTACATCCTTCCCTTCTCTACTGTCCCTTTCCCTTAAGAAAAACCAACCAACCTTACTTTGATCTTAAAACTATGGGTCATATACTATATTTTAACATGAAGAAAGGGCTTAAATAAAACCACTGAAACCATGACAGTTGATTCTACTACAAAAAAGATTTTTAAAAAGGCACTCTGCAGAGCCATACAGAACCAGGTGCCAGATTTGAGTGATAATCACCAGTTCCAGCAAAATAATAAAAGGAAATCTTTTCATTTAAAATACTTACGTGTAAATATTTTAAGTGTTTTATACTTTTTCTGAACCCAGTGAAACTGGTTTATAAGTTAGGATTATTTGGTCTTACTCATCTTTTAATTAATAGCATAGCTGGTTATTTCACAAGAAATCAATACATATAATAATACCTTACATTTCACTTAACAAGGTAAATCTTATCCTCATTTTGTAAATAACAATTCCCAATGTAAAGGTTTAAAGGTAACTGAACTCTGGTTACAAATGGGAAAGCCTTAAGGAACTGACTCACAGACTACAAAATGGAATGAGAAGGACAAGAGTCCAGTTACACAATCTGCTGTGGTTTATTATTCGTGCACAAGACCCATGTCCCATTATGGGTTGGTCAACAGTCAGGACATTCATACTGGTCTACCAGACTGAATTTTTGTTTTATTAATGTTTATTCTGTGATAATGCCTAACTTTTTTTATGGCTCTTATTCACTCTGGTAAAGTTTATTTGACATGGCACAGGGGCCAAGCTTTTAGATCTGTACTTCTCAAATTATCTGTTAGGAAGGACCAGTTACTCCCTCCCCATCTCCCCCTTAAGTTTTAAGCCAATACTTAAATAAAATAAAAAGAAATTAATAAAAAAGAAATCATCACACTTTTCATTGTTTCAGCAGTTGTCACATTGTCTTAAAGTCTTCTAAATGATTACTCTCAATTATTTGCAGACTGGTTAAAAAAAAAAAAAATTGACACCAGTCTTTTTTGAATAGCATATAGACCACTCAGAAATTCTTGCTTTAACACAGGAGTCCCAAGCCACTGTTTTGAGAATCACTGCACCAGAGCATGCTTATCTCTGTCACTCAGATCTTCAGGAAAAAAGAACGCGGGCCTTCCTTTTTCCCTTTTGGTGACTTCCAAATCCCATTCAACCAGTTTATCCAAGGATGTGCTAAAACCGATAGCCATTCTAGCATTGAGCTTGCAGACCCATGATGTTATATAAGAAAGTCAACTTGTTTCTTTCTGCAGTTGCTCTCTTTATGAGCATGATGATAGTAGATACCCTTGATCAAACATGAAAGGTGGCTTCTTTGGAAAGAACTTCTGTGACACTTCATATTGCCTGGATGCCCAGTTTGAGTGGGTAATGTGGGTGTTTGTCCTGTTCCCAAGCACATTTGTTTGCAAAGATGTGATGTTGTCCTTCTATGTAACTGTAAATCGCCGTTTCCATTTACCACTATAAATGGAGCTTCTCTTTTATGATTCAGGCTACCAGCAAAGTTCTAAATCTTGCTTACCTGGACCTCTTCCACCAGAAGTAAATGGTTTAACCTAACAGTTCCATTTTAGTGGAGACAGCTACTCAGGACTAAAAGAGGTCTGAAAGGCAGTGGTTTTAGAAAGAGCGGCAGGCGTTGTGGCGGGCCAGGAGAAAAGAGAAACCATATGGGACTGCTGTGTTCTGCTGGGGGAGACAAGATAGGAGGGTGATGGAAAGGAGATGCCTCAGGTGGGTTTGATCAGTTGCTATGGTTTCTAAGGGTTGTTTTAATACCAGAGGCCACCAGCTGTGTAAGTACATTATCGACATACGGACTTAGGTGCCGGCTACCTGGGAAGGAATGACTGCGTGCTGCTCAGGTCGCATTGCAGCCTGAGAAACGATCCACAGTAAAAGCTTCCATAGAAGTACAATTAAGAGAATGGATTTGATGGTAAAAGAAAAATGGTGTAGAGGAGGACATTACAGCGCTCCAGAGACCAGCCCTGTGCAGAAGTCCTATTCCTTATTGTCACAGACTCAGTGTGCCCACCTGGGAAAAGACATTATGGACAGCAGTCATTATACCCCATGAACTTAGAGTCAGAATTTCTGGATTCGAGTCCGAGACCCCAAGTTAGCATCTTGGCAACCTCAACCAGCCATCCCCCTTTCCTTCACCCTTGGCCCCTCATCTGTTACACATTTGCTGAGCTCTGGAAGCTATTATGGGGTTCAAATGAGATAATCTATACAAAATCACAATTTATTTCTCTATTTACCTACAACACCCAACACTCCCCCTTGCTTTGCCCTATTCCAGAAAAAGCATGTAAGGGAGACTGATTGAGTGATACTTTTTAAAAACTGGCTGTTGCAGGATTCCAGCATCACCCAGAGTCACCATATATACATATCTTTATATAAGTATTCTGAGCAGATAGCTGCATGAGGATATTTGATCTGAAGGCTCATGTTATCTACAAGATGAAAGAGGGAAAATTTTTGTAGGAATGGACACCCACATGCACATACCACACGTATACTTTACGTAAAATGATAGAATGCTGGAGTGAGTCTTACCAGGAATGGCACATAACTATTAGAGCTTCTTTTTTGTAAGGTAATTTAAATAAATGATAAGTATCTCCTTACAATCAAACTAGTTGTCTTGGTTCAGACCATACAGTTGTGGTCCAGAGAGAATTTGATATCACAAAGCTGAATAGAAAAGTCTATGAGACAGAATTTTCCATTGCAAAAATAGTATAGTTCCCTTTATCCTGCTTCCCCTAATGACACATTCTATGTAAACACAGCACAGTTGATGAAACTAAGAAATTAAGGTCGGTACCATACTATTCACTATTCTAGAGACTTTATTCAAATTTTGCCAGTTTTCCCATTAAAGGGTCTTTTTCTGGTCTGGTATCTGTAGAATCTCACATTACATTTATTTGTCCTATTTTCTTGGTCCCCTCCAATCTGTAACCATTCTCTGGTCCTTTTTTAAAAATCTTTACTGACGTTTACACTTTGAAGAGTACTAGCCACTGTTTTGTAGAATGTTCTTCAGTTTTGGTTTATCTAATGTTTTCTCATGATTTAGATTGCAGTTATACATACTTTGGCAAGAAAAGGATGACGTGCCTTTCTCAGTATATATCAGGAGATACATGATGATGCTTAACACTGGTGATGTTGACTTTGGTTACTTGGTTAAGGTGGTGTCTGCTAGGTTTCTCCGTTGTAACGTTACGGTTCTTCTCTTTGTAATGAATAAGTGTCTAATTTTGTTTTTTTTAAGAAGGTTTTATGCTTTCTTAAATTGATAGGCAGGTTGGGGCAAGTATTATTCACAGAGGTTGCAAAAGTTCCCATCCTGGTTAGGAAGAAGCTGTGCTCTAGAAAATGATGGAGTCATTATTTAAGCATTTGAATACATTTCTCTCAGCTCAAGCTGAAATGGATTGCCTGACATTACAGTGCAGGATTTTTAAGTCCTACCTCCAGGCAAATCTCATAGTTACTAGCAAAAATGAAAGTGTGAAATGCTTTTTAATGTATATTTAACAACACATAGTCTGGTGATTACTGATGTGTATTCTCTGTGGACTCCCTTTGCTATCAGAGGAGGATGTTAAGAGACAACATTTTTACACATTTATTCTAGCTAAATCCATCACATGTTTACTTTCTAAATATCTATAACTGTCACTTATAACAAGATCATAAAAAGTCAAATACTTAAAGTCTAACTCAAACTTTGAATCCTAGGATTACAGTCAATTTTCAGGAAAAGTACAATCACTGTTTTTCCTTAACTCTACCTTATGAGATTGTCTGTTAGTAAATGACACTAAAATACAGGCGATAAAGAGAGAAGAATACAGTTTAGTAATGGGGGCACAGACAGCAAAGCTCCTTTCTTCATCGTTTTGATTCAGAAAGTTGTGTAATAGCTCCTATTTAAAGGAATTGAAGCCAGTATCGTGTCTGCTTGTGTCGAAGAGATAAATTTCACAAAATGTACTTAATCCCTTCCTATGGTGTCACTATTTAATACGGATTCAGGTACCATTTTTTGCATTTTTACTGGGTTGCACAGCAAGAGTTCACGTCTTATACTAATATGTGCTCAATAGTTGCATTCTATATAGACCATTGTTAAAATAGCAGTAGTGAAGGCATGTTAGATCACAGAGCCCCAGTGGCCTACATTTTGTTTGCTTTGACGTTAAACTAAAATCTGTTTCTCTAACTGTGACTCTAGTTACTGCAATTGCATGGCAGAAAAGTTTGCTTTGTGGGTTGACTTTTATGAATGGTGCTTGCGTGTTTTCGCAGTAGCTCTCAGTGGTTTCATGAGCAGGCAGAGCACCTTCAGTTGCATTGAATAATTTTGCACAGTCAATAAGTTTTTGTGTTTATGTTTGTTGTTTCTTTGATGTGGCCTCTAGGATGCTGCCGGCAAGGTACTGGACCGCTGGGCCATCATGTCTCGAGAAGAGGAAATCATCACTCTTCAGCAGTTTCTGCGGTTTGGAGAAACCAAGTCCATTGTGGAGCTGATGGCAATTCAGGAGAAAGAAGGGCAGGCCGTAGCTGTACCATCTTCAAAGACAGACTCAGACATAAGGACTTTCATTGAGAGCAATAATCGCACCCGGAGTCCCAGCCTTCTTGCTCATCTAGAGAACAGCAACCCTTCCAGCATTCATCACTTTGAAAACATCCCCAACAGCCTTGCATTTCTGCTTCCATTCCAGTACATAAACCCAGTCTCGGCCCCACTGCTAGGATTGCCTCCAAACGGGTTACTGTTAGAGCAACCGGGACTGAGGCTGCGGGAACCAAGCCTTTCAACCCAGAATGAATACAATGAGAGCAGTGAATCTGAAGTATCTCCCACACCTTACAAGAACGACCAGACACCCAATAGAAATGCCCTGACCAGCATTACTAATGTGGAGCCCAAAACCGAGCCAGCCTGCGTATCCCCCATTCAGAATTCTGCCCCAGTCAGTGATCTGACCAAAACTGAACACCCAAAAAGCTCATTTCGGATTCACCGGATGAGAAGGATGGGGTCAGCCTCCAGGAAAGGAAGAGTGTTCTGTAACGCATGTGGGAAGACATTCTATGACAAAGGTACTCTCAAAATTCATTATAATGCTGTTCACCTGAAGATCAAACACCGATGCACCATCGAAGGTTGCAACATGGTCTTTAGCTCCCTCCGAAGCCGGAATCGCCACAGCGCAAACCCTAATCCTCGCCTTCACATGCCCATGCTACGAAATAACCGAGACAAAGATTTAATTCGGGCCACATCAGGAGCTGCCACCCCTGTCATAGCAAGTACAAAATCAAATCTCACACTCACAAGTCCTGGCCGGCCCCCCATGGGTTTTACCACTCCCCCACTAGACCCCGTCTTACAGAATCCTCTGCCTAGCCAGCTGGTGTTTTCTGGACTAAAGACTGTACAGCCAGTTCCTCCATTTTATAGAAGTTTACTCACTCCGGGGGAAATGGTGAGTCCTCCAACCTCCCTCCCGACCAGTCCCATCATTCCAGCCAGTGGTACCATAGAGCAGCACCCCCCACCACCCTCTGAGCCCACAGCACCAATAGTGATGATGGCCACTCATGAGCCCAGTGCCGACCTGGCACCCAAGAAGAAGCCCAGGAAGTCCAGCATGCCTGTGAAGATTGAGAAGGAGATCATTGATACCGCTGATGAGTTCGATGATGAAGACGACGACCCCAACGATGGTGCAGCTGTGGTCAACGACATGAGCCATGACAATCATTGCCACTCCCAAGAGGAGATGAGTCCAGGCATGTCTGTGAAGGACTTTTCTAAACATAGCAGGACCCGGTGCATTTCAAGGACTGAAATCAGAAGGGCTGACAGCATGACTTCCGAGGACCAAGAACCTGAGCGGGACTATGAGAATGAGTCCGAGTCTTCAGAGCCCAAACTAGGTGAGGAGTCCATGGAAGGGGATGAGCACATTCACAGTGAAGTGAGCGAAAAAGTCCTGATGAGCAGTGAGAGGCCTGATGAGAACCACAGTGAGTCCTCTCACCAGGATGTCATCAAGGTGAAGGAAGAATTCACAGATCCCACATACGACATGTTTTACATGAGCCAGTATGGACTGTACAATGGGGGGGGGGCCAGCATGGCAGCCCTGCATGAAAGTTTTACATCGTCTCTGAATTATGGCAGCCCTCAAAAGTTCTCCCCAGAAGGCGACCTGTGTTCTAGCCCAGACCCCAAAATCTGTTACGTGTGCAAGAAGAGTTTCAAAAGCTCCTACAGTGTGAAGCTCCACTACAGGAATGTTCACTTAAAAGAGATGCATGTCTGCACGGTGGCTGGCTGCAACGCTGCCTTCCCCTCTCGCCGAAGCAGAGACAGGTCAGTAAATCTCCATTGGCTGCTCCTGCTGGGGGTGGAGGGTGCCAGTCATGCTGGACTTAGCATTAAAAAAAAATCCAACTTAGATGTTTTTGATGCACTGTAAAGATTGTCCACAGTAACCATGAGATAACCAAGCTGCCATGCTCATGAAGGATTGTTGTGGTTGGTGCTTGTTATGATTAAGCATGCAGAATCATATGCCATCTTACCCAGTAATGCACGCCATTTTTCTCTGTGCTCTGTGTATGTGTGTCTGTATGTTTTCCCATGCATCTAGGTGTGAATAAGTTAACTATGTACACAGTTCCCTGCTTCCTCATGAAGCTTCACTTAGAAGCCGCAGCTTCTGTTATATATATTTCTGCTTTGCCTTGTGGCTTTTTAATTAAATCAATATATTATCTTCATACACACATATTTATCCAATATAGAAACAGAAATTTACGGATGGAAAGAACCATAGGTCCAGGACATCGAGACAGCCTGCATCTCCGTAGGTATAACCAGAAATGTTATCATTCTTACATGAGTATTTAGTGTGTCCTTGAATTCTTTTAAGAGTCATGAAAATATCAGAAGAAAAGGGGACCAAAGTAATTATTTAATGTGGGGAAATGGTATGGGGGTATGGGTTTCTTTAACTTTACAGTGTCTTTGAGCATATCTCTAAAATACAGTCTGTCATGGGAATTATGCACAGAAGGGGAGGCATGCATATACTTTTAGGATCAGTTAGGATATACATGTCCAGCCTTGAGATGACATCAGACCTTAGCTATGTGGCTACAGCTCTGCAACAGTTGGGTTTAAACAGAAGCAGCTGGTCTTAAACCTCCAATGTTCTTTTTCAATCCTAAAGAAAATGTAATATAAATGGAATGTGTCAAGGTGGTCAGTGGTGGGTAACACAGTCATCCCACACTTAACGGAGATAAGCTTGCAAGCAGATCATTTACATAATACACCAGCCCAGCCCAGAGGCACACACCAGTTAATTCTTCCTCTCATGTCCGATGTGGCTTTTTGGTTTTACTCTGTCTTTTAAAAATATCTTTAGACAGAATTTCATTACGTGGTAAAAATCAATATAGTAGAAGAAACATAATTAACTAGGAAGTTTCCAAGTAGGCATCCCCCAAATTCTCACACTTATCAATTGGGTAGAATTCTTTGACAAAGTAACATGAAACAAAAGTACCACTCAAAAGTAGTGACCTGCTTCTATAATACTCAGTTTTGTCTTCATATTTAAAAGATAAATCTTTTTAAAAATAAAAGTTAAGGGAATATTTTCCATAGTACTGAAATGCAAGGGGCCCAATCCATTAAAAGCAAAATTCTGAGAAAAATAAGTGGCTCTCTTTACACAACTCAAAACATGCTTTGGAGAGAAATCGATATTCTTTAAGATTTCCCCTTCTGCACCCCTCTCCCCCACGCCCATTTACCTTGTTCTGTAAAAATCGTTTACAATCACAAAGTCTTTTTCAGTTCTGAGTTATCATTGACAGTACCAGAATACAGCAGATAAGATAGCTACAATTTGAATAATAAAATATAATACTATACACAACTTCCCACCCCCAAGTTTGTGAGTAATACTCGTTCTTTTATATTTGAAATAGTGCACTTGTGATAATGAGGTTAATGTGTTGGACTTTTTTTAACAAAAATAAAAGACTCATGAAAACCTGCATAAAATATTTATGGAAATGGAGTGTTTGAAGAGAAGCCAAAATTTAAGCTTATTTGCATGAATTCCTATCACAGTTTTAGTTGGTTTGCTGAAAATACTGCAAGTCATTACACTGGCGTAAATGGCTCTGGAACCAAAAGGCTACAACGCCCGAAGCGTGGTGCTTTCATTTATGTCAAACCACTAGAAAACACAAGCAGTTGTATTTTTATGTCCTAATGCATAAGGAGGTGCTGTTGAAAGGGTGGTTTGTCTAAGGAAAAACATTTATTAATAACAGGAGAATATTTCAATCTCCATTTTTATTCTAAGGATTAGGAGCTTGGCGGATGACTAGCCATATGGAAATTTAGAAGTGTCTAGGCTAACTGGAATATTCTGGGGAAGCAGAGTACAGATATTCTGCCATGTGCGTTCAGTCACACAGAAGACTGCAAACCTCAGAAGACAGGTGATAGGTTTCATCTGGGTGAAATCTCACATCACAGTTAATCTTTATAATTCTGGAGTTGTGTAACACATGGTAAATGAAGAAAAGCAAATTGAAAAAAAAAAAAATACCGTGCAAAGAAAGTTTTTTGATTCTCACTTGAGGTTTTGCTTTTCAAGAATACTCACATTTTTTGATCCCAAGTTAAAAACTTCTCAAAAACGATGATACTTTAATTTTGACATTTTTTTCCTTAAAAAAAGTGTTCATCCTTGTTGAGTCTAGGGCTCGAATTAACATGTTGCAAGCATAGCTACCACCACGTAACCAGAAACAGTGATGCCCCTGGGGTCCCTACCTCTTCTTGCATCTCCGCAGAGTGAACTCAAACATAACCATACACCCATCTCGGCCAGTTCTTGTCACTTCTTCCACTAATGGTGACTTGTCACTTAATTTCCTGTGTCACAGAGCCTCTTGGACCACATCTCTGATCTACCGCTTAGACTTACCTTCCCCTTTTCTCTTCGCTTTTGATGTATTATTCACGAGAACCCCAGGAATTTGGGGTCCCTGCTTTTTCCTTCTTCAATTCACAAGGAAGCCAAGACAAATTTTCTTACCTTTCTCTGAGCCAACAGACCTTCCCAAACAGAAACCCTTCTTTGCCTTTAATCCTGCTGTCCTCAGGCCTATTTCTTTCCTTTCCCCAGAGTCTTGATTCATCCATCCTTGACTCCACAATGTCTTCCTTGTGCAAATAAAGCATTAGAGGGGATTTTGAGTGGGGGCTGAAGTGTGCAAGGCTACAGGATGTGTAGTGATAAAACTAACAGAACAACCCTCTTCTTCTGTTTATAAAAGCAGTCTTCTTAACTTTGGTCTTAGAACACCTTACAGGAGTGATACCCAGATCTTCTTGGGCTTTTTCCAAAATGGCTGTACACGAGGGAATTGGCATTTTTGGTCTCCAAATAGACATTTAGTTAGTAAAATATAAGTAGAAAGATGTTAAATGCTGTGTTTTACATTTGGCAGTTAAAGATTTCCAGGTCTTTGCTTATGGTCTTTCTAGATTTTATAAGATCACGTTGAAGGCTTTTAGAAAAGCAAGAATGTTCTTTGTCTAAAGTCATACGAAGGAAGAAGTGGTGGTGGCGGGAACGTGCATGGTTTGTTAGGGCTGAAGATTCTAAGCACAGTGTCGAAGGTGTCCTTTTTTTATACAGTTGTGACTGAGTGTGAGTATAATAAATTCAAAAGCAAAGAGGACCATTCCACCCTAATGACAGAGAACGGTATGCACAAAGATCAATTCATCCAGTCACTAGGTGGCTGTTGGAATAATTTTTATTCTGAGTTATAGAAGTGAAATGTAAATTATTTTATCTTTGAAGAACTATGGCATGATAAGGTGATTACTAAAGTGTTTAAGTATAAACTGATAATGTGGTATGGTGTTAGACCTGACACTCCCCTAAACACCCTTCCTTCCTTCTTGTTTATCCCTTGACTTTTCTGCTACTAAGATACTGTTCGTTCAAGGATCAGGAAGCTGACCCTCCGTTTTGAAGTATGCACATGAAAAACTCCCAGGAAAAAAGAAATTATAACTGGCTTAGAACCTGGTCTTCATAAAGGGGCTTTTCTTGGAGACATGTCATAGAATTAGCTGGGCCTAGTTTACCTTAGGTCATTTCTCATCATGTGTCTTGAATTTTGATCCCTGGCCTGAGTGGCCGTGGATCACCTGTGTATAAGGGAAGCCCATTCATTTATAAGTTACATTTGGTTTTTATTAACAACAACAACAAATAAATGCCCTCCGGTCCTCTTCCCTAGAATTTCTTATCATTTGCTAATACCTTAAAAATCTATATCTTTTAGTGATTTGCAATTTTAAAACTCCCTCAATTAAAATGAAGACTTTGCACACAGAAACAAGGTGATCTGCATAGAAAGAACTATGTATCCCTTTGTTTTACATCTAACATGATCTTTACCATCTTTGTTCCTCCCTTCTGAGAATAGTGGCCGCTGATTGCCAAAGTTTGTCTTAAATTTTATTAGAAAGGTAAGCATGTATGTTTAATCTTCAGGGTGTAGGAAAGATGATTCAGCCCCATGAATACATTTAAAAACAAAATAATATTTGTTTAGGGTGATTTATAAATAAATATGAGGCAACCATTGGTGCCAAGTGTGAACCTTCTCTTTGATTGCTAGTTAAATCAGTCCAGATTTAAACATGTAAACTTCTTGATTCGTATGGAAGAAGACATCTGTATTTGGTTTATTAAAACCTGCTGATGTCTCCAGAACTAAATTTGTTCCTATATAGGCCTCTGGGTAGCTGCAGCTAAAAAAGCAGAGATGTGTAGTTTTTGCCCATCTGATTACCTGGCTTCCAGCCCTGTACAGGTATGCAGGAATAAATTAACATGAGCTACCTCTGATGAACCACTGCATACATTAACAACAGAGGTGAAGATGCAAAAGCATGCTACCTACTTCCTGTTATCATCTGCTCAGCGGCAATATCCATTTTTTCCATCGTTCTCTATGTTTGGAAACTTAGAACTTTTCTAAAGAGAGATTTTCAATAAATGCACATGATTTCACTACCTTCAAGAAATGAGCCTCTTAGCACCAGTTCGAGATACTATTAGTATATTTGCCTTCGTAGAATTAGCTGTCAAATACAGGGTGTTAATTCTCTTCAAGTATAAGAAGAGAACCTTTTAAGGCATTTCATTTTCTATATGTTTGCCAATCAAACTGAAACTCTCCTTTTCCAAAAATCTTTTATAAAGTGAAGTTGTGCAGGTCCTCTGACAAATGTTAAGGAAGAGACTTGCCCTCCTTTACTCTATCTGGTTTCACAATAGAAGCCAGCAGATCAGTAAGTCTTTGTACTGATCTCCATTACTTTCCATCAAAGGCAAACAAACAAAATAAATCCCCCTTCTGAGTAATTGCTAGTTGTGTCCTCCTCAAGTGAAACTTTGGTAGTAAGATAAACTTCGGTGTCATTCCTGTCTCTGGGGTTCTTTTTATATACTGGGAGAAGAGCAATGAGCAAAACGGTCTCCTTGTATCATGGGGAGAGACTCTGACAAGCCTAAAGTGAGCCTCGGATCTTCCTAATGATCTCCTGCTGGCCCAGCTGGATGTAAGACAAGCTCATTTAAGCCTCTGCTGACCTTTCACTCCTCCACTCCAAGAACTACACCAGTCACTTCCACCGTCTTCCAGACTGAGTACCAAATAGACAACACAGCTTAATGGTGGATGAATGACAAAGAGATGCATACACATTTCTATTGATGAGAGTTACATTACATCTCTTATTGATACAAAACTTCGATTGC